GTCAGTACTTTCCCTTCTTATAGCAGTGTCTCCTGACAGATTCCGAAACATATTATGCTTCTCCTCGTTTCGAACAACCTCGTGATGTGTTCTTCTTTGGATGTTTCTCATTCACCATGTGCCGTGCCCATGTCCCAAGCGAGGCAACGGGGCCCTGTGACAAGTGTGACGGGCCCCACGCCACCGACAACTGCCCTCATTTCAAGAAGCCCCGGGACGACCACAAGGACGCCTTCGAGAGCCTTGGCGGATCTTGGCAGGCCATGCAGCGTTTCTGGTTTCGTGCCATCAGAGCTTGCCATTGCTTGTCGACTTGACACGCTTGGCCGGTAATGAGCTTGTTGATCAGCAGCCAGCTCAGAATGAACCCTTTTGCTCATCCCAACTTCCCAGCGGAAGGTGCAAAGTGTCCTATGAGCTCCTTTGAAAGTCATTAGTCATCGGAGGGCCAACAGGGCCATATATGTCACAACCATGGCACGGTTGCCATTCAGCAAGGAACTACCAGAAGGAGGCCAAGGACACCAAGTCGGCTCAGGAAACCGAAACCTTCAGCTCCCGGGCGGCGCGGGTGGTTTCGCAGCCTGGGGATGGCTCTTGCCGCTTGGAATGAAATGAGGGGGTTCAGGTTGCGCACAATACTGGAAACAAACAAAGCATCAGAAGCCTGGAAGCGCGATTGTGGAAACAGCTGAGTCAGAGGTTGTCATTGCTTAGGGGTCAGCACTGCATTGCTTAGTTCTTATTTGTCACAGCTGTCGAAATAGCCTTTGTCACAGCTGATGGGCGGCGAGGGTGGATTAATTATCAGCTCAACCGGATGTCACCTGAACCTAACAACACAAGCCTGCCGGGTGGGGAAAACTAGTTCATTTGCTTTTGAGTCGTCCTTTTATTTCTCCTTGCGGGAAGGACCCTGCTGGACTGTCAGCCCGAGGCCTTTTCCACTCCCTGAACTACGGCCTGGGTGGATCGGGTGCTGCCGCTTTGCGGGCAAAGCTGGCAGACTTCATCGCGGCCAATCCCAAGGCAGAGCTGGCCGGGAATCCAATTTGCGCACCTCGCAGAACTGGGACGGGGGATAGGGGCAAGGCTGGGGACGCAGGGTGCGAACTGGGGTGGCGACAAGAGACAAGTGTGCTCGCGCATTCCATGCTAACATGTGTTCGGCCTTAGCCCCGCAGGGAAAACAGGACGTAAGAAAGAAACAGTGCGATGGGAAAACGTGACTGCCAGGGTGCATGCTCGGCGCGTACTTAGTGCACTTGGGGCGAGCTCAGTGCACTTGCAGCGTGCTGGGTGCATCAGTGCATACTCGGTGCGTACTCGTTGCGCACTCGGTGTGTACTGAGTACTCTCGGAGCGTGCTCGGTGCACTCAGTGCATACTCGGTGCGCAGTGGCTTCCAAACTTGCCAGCAAAATCTCACACCCTGCATGATCGACCCAGCTTCTCAAGTCACTCTAAGTAGAGGCGTTCGAAACATAAGTCACATTTAGCTACATTTAGAGCATGCGCTGGACTACGACATGATACGACTTGCATCACCGGGCATGTGCAGCGGCTCCTTCCGGCGTGAAATTACAACGAATCTTGCGGCCTAGGAAGCCGCAGGTTTGCGGCCATGGAGACCTTCACATGCAGGGCAGGTGGCTCTATATTTCGTTTTGTTTGCAGCCCGAAAAAGGCAACCAGGACCCATGAACATGTTGTTTCCAGGTGTCTTCCAGGAGTCGACAAAAAGCATCGGGTACCAACCAAAGTTGGACAAACTCCTTGCTGAGCATGTTGAAATGCCCCTTGTTTAAATTGGTTCCCTGCTTGCCCTTTTTCCAACAGTGTCACTGGGCAGCCGGGAAAGGGTACCAACCACAAAGACACTTACCATGGCTCTAGATCTTCAAAGTGGGTCGGTTATAACCAAGGTTATAAGCCACTTTGGTAAATAGCCAGCCCCTTCAAGAGATATGGCGTGTTCCCTTTTGGTTCCTTTTGAAAAACCACCTTCTGGAGAAGCAAATGAAGAAGCGCAATCCGAGGACTGGGTCTTGTGGGACACCGGGGAGGACGTGCAGAGCTATGCGCGCTCCATGCGCGACGGCAGCCGATGGGGTGGCGCCATGGAGTTGGCTCTTTGCGCTCAGCTGAGGAAGGCGACGCGCGTCGGGGGAACTCGTGTGGCAGGGGAAGTCACACAAATACCCAATTTTGGGCCTTGACAAAGACCAGGAAAACCAGCAAGGTTTTGAGATGAATGATGGTTGAGCACGATGGGGAATCAACCCCAAGAGTGATGGTCACTGGGCTCTTTTGTTTTAGGTGTCCTTTAAAGGCCAATTTGTCACCAGCCAGCAGAAGGGACACCTAGGCATTTGCGCCTTTGGCCCAGTTCCCACCACCCAAAGCCAAATAATGATTTTAAGAAAAAGAACAGGAACAAACACATCAGAACTAGTTGAACAAAGCGAGTACTGCAATCAACAAAAGCCCCCCCTCCTTTTGTTGATCATGCCCTTGCAACAAATAGGTGCGCACCGCATCACTTGATTAGTGTTTTCCTGCAAGGCAATGAGCTTTGATGGCCCGATCAAGTATTGCCGCTTTCGCCAAAGGGCTTTATCTTGGCTGGATTTGCTTGTACGCAGGGTCCTGCCTTTCTTGACACGAACGGATGCTTGCATTCTAATACACGGCTTTGCCAAGCAATGTGAATATACCGCCTTTTTTTGTGGCGCGGGGAAAGCTTGCGCTGCCCCTCCGGCAAAAAGTGTGGTGCTGGCCCTCCCGCAAAGAGCGTGGTTTCCTTCATGGTACCGATTTGGAGAGGTGCTTTGCGGCTGTCAAGCCAGTGTTCTTGGCTTTTGCATGGGAAAAGAAGTTCACGCATAGATGCCTGCGAAAGGGTTTCATGCCCCAAGTGTCGTGAAGGATTGATGTTACTGGGGGGGGGGTGACAGCCAGGTGCGCATCGACATCTTCGAACGAAGGTCGGGCGGATTCGCCCGGATCGCCTCCTTTGGGGACGGCCAACCGGTGCGCCTCCTTTATGGAGGTCGGGTTCACTACGACGCCCTGGAGGTGAGCTGCACATAGCCCTCAGCTGTCCTGAAATTTCGGGAATTTGAGGTCTGGTGTCGCATGAGCCGTTCCAATGCAGGCCACAAGCAACTCGAAGCTGCTTTCAGCTGATGCTTACCTAAAGGGTAGGCTGCCAGCCACAAAGCAGTTGACCGCTACGCGTTTGAGTCGAGCTTGAGGAATGCTGACTTTGAGAAACTCCCGGTTGACCAATTTAGCTAGGGATGCCAGCCACTTTGTACGCGAATTGTACCTTGACATCTTTGTGATTTGGTTTTCCAGGGGCAAGGGGAAGGGATGCCGCGTTCATCCGCAGCCCTGCCTTGTCGAAGTTTGTTTTTCCTAAGGTTGGGGCCAGCTGGTGACTACCCTCCGAGATGACTGTCAGGAGTGACCGGTGGAGCTCCATTTCTGAAGCTGTCAACTCTTGTGAATATGAGACAAAATTTCAGTGCGAACTTGCTGAGGGTTTTGGATGGTTTTGGGCCTGCGAGATTGCGTTATTTTGAGGGGATGCCAGCCTTTCTTCATCATATCGGCATGTCTCAGCTAATTTGTCCAGACTCTCTCGCAAGATGCGAGGCGAGTGTGTTTGATGAGCGTGGGACATGTGAAGAGCAAGTTGGCCAGTAATTAGTTGTTTCGGGGGACCAACCATTCGAAATTGTTTTGATACTGATTTCCAGAGCAACCAGGTCTAACTCAGCACTGGGGATTTTAAGTTTTGTTTTGCCGTGGCGTGGGCTTTGCTTTGTTGAGGATCTTACCAGGTTTCATATGTTATGTGATGAGCGGGCATTGGCGAACCAATTTCGGAGGCCATGACAACAGAAACAAAGCAAGCAGGAGGGCGCTTGACATAAAATTCCATGGGTAAGATTGGGGAGGCGCCCTTGGCGGATTTGATCTCGCCTGTAGATGCTTCTAGACTACCCTGCAAAGTCCCCCACCACCAGAGAGCTTTCATCTACAGCGGCGGAAGCAGGCTCGGCAAAGTTCCTCGAAAGAACTACGTTGCGGAACACCCTTTAGAAGCAGCAAACCTCACAGAACGTTTGAACACAGCGAGGGAATCACGCGGCAGCTGCCATGCAAAACCTCGCATCCTTAGCAGCACCGGGGAGCCGTAAAGCCACAGATCCTATTCGCGAGCCTCGAAATGTTCTTTCCAATTTGAATCAGCCTGGCCCCTGGAGGAGGCGCACGTCACACGTCTCAAGCCTCGCCTGAGCGCTGCGCTGAAGTGCTGTGACCATGGGCGAATGTGGGCGATTTTCTTCCCGTGGTCGCCTCTTTGGGAGGGGGGGCTGCTTTTTTGCTGCTCAAGCTCATGCACCACCCAAGCCCTGAGTCATGAACAGTACCAATTATCACGAGCCGCAATTTGCCACGGGGAATGTGGCATGCTTCCACCCATTGAGGAAATGCTCCCAGAAGCCAGTCGCCCTGGCATACGGGAAGGTCGGTTTTGGCAGATGAGATCATATGAGATCCAAATTCGCCGTTGGTGGTCTGCTAGTTGGACCCAGGTGAGTTTGGAAGCAGCTATCTCTTAGATGGTGTCCAGATGCGGAGTTAAAAGTGATGCTTCTGCTGTGCCCACGACTCCGCCAATCTAATGGAGAAGTCAAAGTGCGTCACGACAAAAGCCTGTTCGGATCAGGGGCACAAGCAGGGTCAGCAGCAAGTTAGATTTTAGAGAACCACTTTGAGGGTTCGCCTTTAGCAATTCACGAAAATAGTAAGCAACCTCAGGACCTGATGGCATTGACATGAAATTGGATTCCACTCACCACAACGCATGAACATAGTTGAAAAATATTGTGCCTTTTCCAGTTGCTTCCCCGTGCTTCGTCCCATTGGCAATCTGGAGAGGGAAGAAAGACCCTCAGGGTCAGTGATGCGCATGGGTCCCTGGACAGGCTGACTCGGCGCTTCGCCATGCGCCTGCCCATGCCAGACTACAGGTTCGAGCGAGAGGTTCCCAAGGACAGGGACGCGCGCACGACGTGCTGTCTGGCTCCAGGCTCTGCCCCTTGACCACCAGTGCCGAAGAAAAGAGGGGCACGCAATTTGCGGCATTTTGGGGGCGGTCCGCGAAACCTTGTTGACGGCATTTGGGTGGATGGGTTGTTCCACCAAGCGCCCCTCCCGAATTTTGCCCGGCTTTGTGTTCCGCAGCAATTGACAGATGTGGATGCATGCATGCGTCGCCTGGCCCCTTCTCACGTGGCTACTTGCTTGCCAACCTGGGATGTTGAACATTAAGCATATTAAGCCTTAATCCTCAGGCCATATGGTAGTGTTTTCCCTCGTGTCTTGTGGTGTTCCTCAAGGGGTTCCGCATCAAGACAGCTTGCAGCTCATGAAGGACTTAGAGCCCATCCCGATTGCCATCGTCGGGCGGCCCAACGTAGGGAAGTCCACCCTCTTCAATCAGCTGCAGTCAGGCGCGGAGAAGTCTGACATTCGTCGTCGGGATGTGCATGCGGGGGAGGATTTGGATTGGAGGGGGGACTTGACCATGCTTACAACCCCAGACTTGGCAGCTGCCATCCAGCGACACAGCGACTGGCCACATATGTTTATTCCATTTTATTCCAGACGAGTGGGTCATGTTTTTTTTCCCCCCCCCATGTTTTTGTTCCAGTTGCCTGGATATCTTCCACTTTTGTCAAGCGTGTAGCAGCTGCGCGTCGACGATTGGACTGAAAGTTGCAGCCAGGACAAACATGTGTACCTCTCACGCCCAAATACTGTGCTGAGTGCCATTCAGCTACTAAAAAGAACTACCGGCAAATTCTGTTGGTTTGCACTGTTCTCAGCTATCGCGCTGGTTATTTAAGCGTTCCCTACACTGCCACTTTCAGATGAGTTAAGGGGAAGTGTGTAGCCAGTCCTCTATTCATTTGAAGGCAGACAGGCATTCCTGAAGAGAGTCATGTTTTCGCCTAAACCCGCATTTTTTTCCACCCCCCCCCCCCCCGTCTGCAAGCAAGCGGGTTCAGGCGCAAGCAAGCAAGCAAGCAAGCACCCCTACGCACACCCTAAACCCACCCCACACTCAAGCAACCCCAAACCCACCATTGAGCAACCCTAACAACTACCCTTACTAAACCCCTAAATCCACCCTAATCACGCCCTAAGCCAACCTTAAACTCACCCTAAGCTCACCTAAACCAACCCTACACCAGCCCTGAACCACCCTAAACCCACCATAACCAAACCTAAAACAGCCCTAAAACCATCCTAAACCAACCTTAACCTCGCCCTGAACCCACCCTAAATCTAAATCCTCCCCCTAAACACACCCTAACCCCACACCCTAAACGAACCTCAAGCCAACCTTAAGCCAACGTCTAACCCACCCTAAACCAACCCTGACCTAAACCAACCCAAAACTCCCAAAACCCACCCGAAACCGACCCCAAACCAGCCCTAAACCCACCCTGAGCCCATCCTAAACCCAACCCTAAACCAACCCCGCACACATCCTAATCACACACCCTAAACCAAACCCAAACAACCGCAAACCAACCCTAAAGCAACCCTAAACCAACCCCAAACCCTTACTAAAGCCCGAAATCCAGCCCTAAACCAACCTTAAACCCACCTTAAACCAACCTAAAACCCGCCCTAAACCCACCCTGAAACTCCCACCCCAAACCCACCACTAAGCAACCCTAAACCGGAAAAATGCAGAAATAAGAGCACTCACTATTCCTGAGCGGCGGTTGTGCAGCCCAACAAATTCCAGATCTCCACCACTCTGGAGTTCCATTCCCAGCTGTAGCTTGACATGAGGCCATGAAAGCCCCCAGCACATGTTCGAAGACCCCTGTACATGTGGTCAGTTAGTCAGTGAGCTTCAGTCAAAAACCTGTAGTGAATGGTCCATTGGGGCTGGACATGGGAGCTCACTAATTTCCCACAACGCCAGGGGACTCTTTGTTTCGGTTAGTGCGTGTAACCACATAATTTGACTGTTGCTCAGCGACAAGGGTGCGGAAGTAACCAGGTCGGACCGAGACTTCAAGCCGGAACCAAAAGCAAAAGTAGCAAGCGCCTGTCGAGGTACTCGCAAGCAGAAGAAGCGCAGTCCCGTGGACAATCGCGCCATAGTTAGCGACAGGGCAGGACGGGCATCCAACTCCCGAAGCCCGTTGAGCGAGTTGATGGATTCATTGGCACAAGGCGGAAGATCGGAATGCCTTGTTTTGAATGAGGCGGTAGCGGTAACCTGGACGAGGCATTTGCATTTGAGGGTGGACAATTTTCCCAGAAAGGTAGGTCGTGTTTGCGTGTTTGACTGATTGATTGATTGATTGATTTGATTTGATTTGATTTGATTGGAATTGAATTGTTTGATTGCTCTGTGTTTATTTGTTTGTTTGGTTAACTGATTGATTTGATTGATTTGATTGATTGATTGATTGATTGGTTGATTGATTGATTGATTGATTGATTGATTGATTGATTGATGGATTTATTGATTGATGGATTTATTGATTTTATTCATTGTTTGAATTGAATTGAATTGAATTGAATTGAATTGAATTGAATTGAATTGAGTGATTGACTTATTGAGTGACTTATTGAGTGACTGATTTAATTGATTGATTGGTTGGTTGGTTGGTTGTGTGTTTGTTTGTTTGGTTGGTTGGTTTTGGATGATTATTTTTGTGCTTGCTTATTTGCAATATGCGCCAATTGTTTTGGGGGCCCAACCGGATCACAGGCGAGGGGTATATACACGCTGCTGATCAAGCAACTGTGCGACGCAGCAACCGCCAGCAGCATTTCGTTGTTTTTGTCTGGATAGCATACCACATGATTCAACATTGCTTTGCTTTGCATTCTGTTGCTATCTACTTGGGCGGGATGGGGGGGCGAGGGTATACCTGGAACCAACATGCCCTTGAGTGTGCCTTCACATCCCCGAGTGACTCAGAGCATGAGCGCTTCAATGCCCAACCCTCCAACACCTGGCAGGAACTACCAGGGATCGCAAGGATGCCCTTGCGGTGCTGGGTGGGTGCGCCCTGGGATTGGTACACCTTGTCGACCTCTTTTTGTTGGTCATCACTGGCTGGATAAAAAATTGCAATGAATTCCATTTCATTGGGCAAGCGACATTGCGTGCGACTGTTTTGGTTGCCTACACGTGATTTGCAAGATGTTGCACGATTTTGCAAGTGTGCTGAACGAGACCAGTCTTCAGGGTTTCCCGCGGACAGGGGAGAGGGACTTGGCATGGGCAGCATGGGGCACATCTCTCCGGCACGGCTGCAAAGTTTTGCATGAGGCTCTTGCTCCGCGTCATCGACACCGGAGGCTTGGAGTCGCCCCAGGTGACCAGCGAGAACTCGCTGCTGCGGCCCGGCCTCAATTGGACGTGCAGATGGCTGAGTTCAGCATTTAGTGACCGTGATTGCAGTCACTGTCCTGGTCTACTCAAGAGACGCATTTGCAAAGCCATTTCCCACGTGTGTGATCCGAACGGGCCTTGACCTTCGATGGAGCCTGCCACTTACATGGGGGCTGAGCCATTGTATGTGTTGGGCAATGCGCCTGTATGGGTGTAAAGGCGGTCAAGCCTGGCAGCAATGGAATCCAGTTGCGGCGCCTTATTATGTCATATGGCTGTTTATATTGCATCTGTTTATGTAGCCTTATTAGTGTCTGTTCGCAGCTGTTTACATTTGTTGCAGGGACATTTCAGGGAACTGGCAGATCCAGAGCGAGAAACATACGTGTAGCGCACAGAGGAAAGGTTGCCATGTTTCCATGCTTTCATGATGTGCTCCGGGCTGCTGGAATCTGGCAGCTGATTGATGCCAGCTTGTCCTAGGCAAGCCATGCAAGATCAAGTTTGGCGTGCAGTGGCAGAGGCAGCCAGAACGTTGTGGAGAGGCGTTGCTCACGGCCATGTGGCCAGGGGAAGCAAACTCTTTTTGCAAAGCAGGCGCAGAAACACTAGGTACGTCGCCTGCCTCATGATGTTAAGCGTTTCCTTGTGTTTGCCTTTTGCATGCTGAAATCGGCAGGGTGTCCGGTGACCGGTGCACCACCATATACGCGATCCGCCGACGCCAGTGGGGCGCAAGGGATTTTAAGACCTTATTCATTTTTTTCATAGAAGTGATGCTGGCGATGCTGGACATGCAAGGGATGCGACCACACAACGTACAGGAACAGACCCAATCTTCGCATCCAAAATTTCAAGACTTTCAGACACGCAAATTGACCAAACACAGAAGATACCAGAGATGTCGGGAATGCTGAGAATGCAGCCGGCTGGCCACAAAAAAGTGAAAACAAAAACATGGTTTTTTGATATTCCCTAAAATCAACCATCAAAAGCAGATACTAGCAACCCCCTCAAATACCCTACAATTAGACTTCCAAAAGCACGTAATGCAGGGGATGTTTCGCAGTAACTGCTCTGCACACTCATGTTGCAACTTCAATCAGTTCCTTAACGTATCACTGCACTTGGCCCCACCCAGGCCTCTAACAGGCCAATTGCAACAGATCCTGCGCGTCCGAGGCCTTCGCCCTAGAGACCTGGGCGAAACGCATATTTTTAGCACGCAAGCCCCAAAAAACACTGGAAAAAATACAGGGTTTTGGACACCCAGCCACCATGCTCAAAAAATGGCAGCCCCAAAAGCCTTCGGCTAAGAGAAGAGATTCCGAAGGAAGACCAAGTTGCGGACTGCCATCTACACGCTCGACTGACGTCGGCGGATTTTCTTCACAAATTCGAAATGTTGGGTAGCCGAGTGCGCCAACCAACTGTTTGGATAGATTTTCTTGCTTTGCTCTGCTCTTGCTTCTTACTTGTGGGCGGTTGTGCTGGAGACGCAGGTGTTTGCGCAGCCCAAACGCCATACATGCACGGTTGATTTCGATTCGCTAAGCTTTCCGGGATCAGAGATATGCTCAGCCGACCAGACATACTAGCAACGGAATTTCACTTCGGATTTGGTGCCTGGAGCTGGCAAGCAGCAGAAGCTAATTACTTTGCGTTTGTGGGGGGTTATTGTAAGCCGATCTTTGATCAGGAACTCGCCTTTTTCCTGACAAACGTCATGTCGATTGACATAAACGCCGACAACCATGCGATAACCATGTGATTGTGAGCGTAATTTGCCAGCAAGCCTTTAGACGAATGAATGCCGCGCGGTAGAGGTTAGCCTTACTAACTAATTACATCAGTCAGCGAGAAGTCTTTGGCAAGGCGACTTGCAGCCTGCAAGGCTGCCGTAGTACTATAGGCAGACCACTGGCAGTTAGACAACGCGCACACCTGAAAACCCTGAAGCCCGACAAGGAGGGAAAGACTGAGACCGATACTACTGCTGGTGTTCCACCATTTGGTTGTGCCCCGAATTTCTCACCCAGGTGCATGACCCGTGAAAAAGAGAGCTGGAACCCACATGCCAGGCACGCGCCATCCTGTTCGTCATTGATGCGCAGGAAGGAGTGATGCCGGCATGATTGCATGTGATGTAGGCGCGGTTGCTTGGCTTGACTTGCATGTTTGTGTGCGCTTGGAACCATCTCCCAAAAATGGGCAACACCGCAGGCGCAGTTGTGCGTCCTTGATCTGCCGTGCGACTTGCGCACGAGCGTTGTGTGTGTGTGTGCGTGTGCGTGTGTCTGAGGCCTTATAGGTCTTGTGATTCTTCACGCGCATTGTCCAGTTGTTCAAAACCACAATTGTCGAAACTTTTGTGCTCGCCCTTTGTCGCCAGATTACCCCTAGCGACCTCCAGATCGCACAGATGCTCCGAGATAGCAGAAACGCTCTTGCCCCAGCAACTAGTGCGGTTGCGCTAAGATCCGTCCTGCTGTCATGTGTTTTGCACCTGGCCCGCCTTGCCAGAAAGAAAGAGGTCAAATTGAGGGGGCGCTTGCTCAGGCCGACAAGTACCGAGACCTGTTCAACCCCAACACGCCCAAAGACGTTCCGTTCGGCCCTTACTGCAAGCATTGCCTCCGTGATATTGCATCTTGGTCCATGGCTTCTGGGTGTCTAGGATTATCCTTATCGCGAACAAGGCTGAAGGCGCGCCCATGCTCATGCAGTCACATATCAAGTTGGACTGCGTTATTTTAACACTTAGTCTCGGGTCTTGCCGCTGGTGATCTTGCGTTTCTTGATCCGTAATGTGTTTAGGCAGTTGACAGCTTGGGTTGGCCGTTTTCAGGATCAATGTTTTTGAGTGGAAGGCTCGACATGGCGCGCAGGAGCTTTCATCGGACCTTACCTCAATGATTGCTACGATTTGGGAGTTGGAGACCCTGTGGCGGGCTAAGCAAGCAGCCAACAGCTCACTGGCGCGAAATGGACAAGTCTGCCGGTGAGCCCCCTCACCTGAGGTCATCATGTCAGCGATGCGGAACCAAGGCACCGCAGCAGCCTCAGCCGAAGGGTCAAAACACGCGTGGAAATGGCATATAGGTGCCACGCACTTGCGTTGCTTCATTTCATGCCATACGGAATCCGCAAGCTCGTGAATCCCCCAAACCTTTCAAAATTGCAAATCGCTTTGGCCCAAGCAAGTGCTGAGGAGGAGTTGCTGGACCGCCTCTACTTGGAAGTTGGCCATCTGCAAGCGCGGGAGGAGGCAGCGAGCCAAGGGACTTGGTTGCGGGGCTGTGTTTGGTTCTCCGACCTGGGACGGCGTTGCGGCAATCATTGGGGGAGGGGAGGCAACACCACGCTGATTGAAACGTGAGAGTCGGGTTTGCGTGCCAATGCAAAGTCCCCAGGTAAGACGGCCCCTTTGAAGGTGGGCTGAGTCAGGACGCAATTTGAGCCTTGACATGTCCACTCAATTCCACGGACGCATTTTTTGAGAGACCCATTAGACGATACCCAGCCCAAATGCAGAAGGTGGGCACAGAAACCAAGGTGGGGTTGAGAGCATGGCTTGGCCAGCTTACATGTTCCTTGCTGCGTGTTTACACGTCGCCCATGATCCGGCCCTCGCACAGTTGTTTAGAAATTTAGAACCTGCATCAAGGCGTATTCGAAGCGAGGGTGGCCCGGCCTTGGGAAGATTCCAGATTCCTTGTGGCATGCAAGCCCTTGTCTGCGGTTTGCATTAAGAGACCGGGAGGTACCTCATCCAGGGACTGCCTTCATGCCGGACGAGCGCCGCCGCGACATCTTCATTGAAGGGGAGGAGCACGCTGAGCAAATGAAATGCATTGTGGCTCTTGAAGCGCAGGAGGCAGAAGAGGAGGAGCTGGAGGAAGACGAGGAAGAGGAAGAACTGGACGAGGACGAGGAGGAAGCCGCAGGCTGGCCCTGAGGGGAGCTGCCCCCATCGGCCGACGTCATTCCAACGGCCCGCTGCAAACCGGGCCTTCTTCAGAAAGTCTGGCTGGCACGTTTTTCAAGCATGCATTCACTGTTATGAGAACAACATGGAGGGCGAACTGGTTGTCATTCTCACCGAGCGCCGCCGAGCGGCTTGTATGTCCCCACTTTGGCTGCTGCAGTGTTGCTTGGACACTGGCATCCAGCATCAAATGAAGGCGGAGTAGCTTCCGACTTGGCAAGGAGGTGTCCAGAGAAGCAAAAACAACAGCAAACAGGGGCGCAGTTTACCGTTTTACATACCTTCAAAGGCAGGCCCACAGTGCACCGCAGGTCCGACGCTGCCGTGGCTGTCCTTGAGCCACATGACGGAGCATCAGAGGAACTCCTTGAGGCGCCTGTTCAACCTCCATGCAGCGGGCATGGTTGTGCCCTTTCCCTGATAGTTTGCGCTAGGCTTGTAGCACCTCGTTCGGCAACCTTTCCATTGTTGGCAGGGCAAGGGCGCAATTAGTCAAACCAACAACGCACTTCTATAACAGGACACTTTCACTACACTCAAGCTGGGGTAGACATGCTTCGAGGCCACCCTCCTCTGGAAATGCCCGCAAAACGTCTGGGAGAGATCATGACGATGTTCGAGCTCTGGTGTGGCCCACAACCAATCTGACAGAGGGCCATTCATTCACTGCATTGATGGCCATGATCTCTCCGAGCCGAACTCCGCCCCACCAACCCACGACCTACCAGAAGGTCACTAACACAGCTGGCTCCCTGTGGTCGATGAGAGCTGCAGGTTCCTGGCCCATCACCCCGCAGACCCCTTGGGGGATTTGGATCCTGGCCTCAAAGTCAGGGCCCTGAGACTTCGCCTGAGTTGCAGCACCTCCGTTTGTCAATGAGTCCCCCCACTGGCCCCCCGCCCACCTTAGCTGATGCGCTTTTTTGCTCGTTTGCTGTTTTTCTTTTCTGTTGGGGGCCGGGGTTGGTTTTCTGGATGCCAATGCCGCTAAAATATGAGCTTGGATGCTTCTTCCAGATACCTGCCGACGGCTGGATGCTGTTGGCTTCTAGCACCTTGGTTTGCCGAGGCTGCTGTCATGCACGTGGATCCCGGCAAGTACTGGCTGCAGGCCCGGCCATGACATGCTTCCGTCTCACCGCATACTTTCACTTTGAACCCCACAGTTCCCTGCCTTGCTCAGACCTGCGCGGGACACTTGACCTGACGTAGTTTGCTGGCAGGCAGCATGAGCAAGGGCGACTTGCAATGCCAAAAATGCCAAATCAGTTTAGCCTCATTGAACCGTCCAATGCTTTTCTGAGCCGTTCAGATCGTTTGCGATGAGACACAACAAAAAGCAACAACTCGCTCTTTGTCGGAACAAGCAAGACTTGCACAATGATGCTATAAATGGTTGCAGTGTCCGAAGCCTACCTTCGCACCTTTGGGTTTTTCAGTGTCCCATCCTCAGCGTCAGGCGCCGCAGCGATCGCTTCCCACCAAAGAGGCCGAGCCAGGGCTTGAAAGAGGTGAGAAAGCGGCGGCGGGATAGACACGCGCACTCACTTGAGCCGGGCTCAGGCCATGAAGTCAGGATTGATGCCTTTTGCACCCCTCAATGTTGCACTGGGGTGGGGACGGCATTTGGCTGGTCTTCGCTATTAGCCCTGCGGTTTACCTATCTACAGCGCAGAATGTAAGTAATAATGGCCACATGGGCCTTGTCAGCGCACCCTGCGTTAAGCTGTCCTAAGTTTACACAATGTGAAAGGCCTGCTTCATTCTGTGGCAGCGTGACAGAACATACAGAATCCAACAGGATCACTTCCAGGCATTCTCATGCACAGACGTGGGCTTTAGCTCCGCACGCACAGTGCTTCAGAGCTTTTTGCCCGGCTTTCACCCCCCTGAACCTGACACGACGACCTTTAGTCACCGCTAGTCAGATCGGCCAGTCGAGGCTACATGTGTTGGCACATAGGGTGCGGGCATGTGCGCAGGCACGCGACTTTGTCCTGAAGTGAGGGCCTCGGAGCACCGAAAAGAGATCACAAAGGTGGCTCACTCGGTGGTTTTCTGCTAGTCTGCTGAACGTATTTTGAGCTGGTGACAGCTAGTGCTTGGCTTAGGCTTAGGCTGGTGGTTTGTCAACGGCATGAGGTAGAATGCCAACCTGAGATTACCCCCACCAGAGAAGGTCCAGAAGGTATGGAAGGTCAGCAACCAAGAAACATGGTTGGGCGATACAGCTTTTTGTCTCGGGCAATCGAAACAGATTCCTCACAGCACCTCAATCCGAGATTCCTTGATTTCAGGAAAGGTAGGCATTAACCTTCTTGCAGAGACAATAGGATGCAACACAATGAGCCAGCCAAATGGATGCAAACATGCGCACGCCCGCTGGGGGGATTAATTGTTTTATGTGTTGTTACACCTCTTCTTTTTGTTTAAAGGTTTTTGGGAGAGAGCCGAATAATTCTTGAGGGGATTGCAACTTTTCAAAACTGGTAGTAGTGGGAGGGTCCAAGCCGGCCGGACTAATAACAGGAGCGGTTTATGAATCTTATGTTGACATTTCGTAGTTCACATTGACATGTGGGGTAAGGGTCGAACGTTGGAGTTTCGCTGCTTGGCAGGCGCTCGTAGTCGCGTAAGGCGTGAATTTTAACCTGTCACTGCCTGTTTGAGCCCTTCATTTCCTGTACTCAACGCCACCTCCACACAAGGCAGGGGTGTTTGAAGAATCACGAGCCCCCAAAAAACGGTTGGCTTAGCTTGCTCTCCTTCAAGAAGCAAGCCGGAACGGGTAGCTTCTGGCTTCCCATTCAGCCCTGGATGCTGGGGTTCTACCCCCAACACAAAGGTTGACCATGGTTGACCCAATTTAGATGACGATCCTTAGGTAAATGGGTGGATCCACTGGTGGTTTGACCCGATTCCCCGGACCCTCAGAGCCACCCGCGACACCGAGCAGCGCCGAATCCAAGGCACCGGCGGGCAGAGGAGATGGACCAAGCCATGAAGCTGGCGGTCATCGGCCAGCCCAGCGCGGGGAAGCGGGGCCCTCGAAACCCCCGGTTTGAGGTTCCCACATTGGGGAAGGTGCCCCCCCAAAAGAGGCTGGACAGTCGCCATGCAATTTGAATCTCCATATGGCGAGATTAAAACACAAATGCAAAAGTTTCTTCAGGGCTGGTGTTTTGAACGGCTTTTTGCCCATGGTTTTGCTTTGTTAGTTCGTTCCATGCGCGTTTCATCGTAGAGGCATGTTCTTGTTGATATTGTTTACGCCTTTCCGGGCTTTCTTTCTTTCTTTCTTTCTTTCTTTATTTCTTTCTTTCTTTCTCTCTCTTTCTCTCTGACCCTTTTTTCGGGTCCCACTGAGCATGGCAAGACATCTTCAAAGTCGGCTGAGCGCTGCTACGGGTGGCGGCCAGGTTCCCGCTAAGCACTGATAAACACTTTTGGCGTTGCGGCGAGCTGATTTTTCGATTGGGGCGACCATACAAGCCCCAAGGTCCAGCATCATCAATGCGTTGCTTCAAGAGGAGCGCTGCATTGACCTGCTGGCACGCTTAGAGGAATGGGATTGCATAGGGGCTGCCAGGCGTGAGCAATTGGTGGAGAACTTACAGAGCTTTCCATCAAACGGAGCATATGTGATTGTGTAACAGGCGCCTGGTAGAGCGTTCCAATTTACACCGCAGGCCCTGCAGTCAACATTGCGAAATGATGCGTATCGCAGCAAGCTTGTGTGTGTGTGTGGCTGAACTTGCTTCCTAGGGTTCGGCCAGGTCAACGAGCAAGATGGCACCACCATGGACTCAATCATCACCAACTGGACAGCGTTTTTCCACAAAGTGCAGCATGGCGAGTTTGGCAGGGAAGCCATATCGATTTCGCTGGTCGAAATTCTTGGCTAGGACCTTCAAGGAGAACGCAGTGAAGCTGATTGACACGTCGAGCCCTCAGCGAAAACACGAGATGGCCAGTCATTGCTATAGCTGGAGCCGTTCTACCCAATCTCAGAAATCGATGGGAGGGATGGTCACACTCATCATTGGGCAGAAACTGCTCAGTACTTGTCTTGTCACTTAGCCTCATTTGTCGCGGTTGTGCTTACCGAAGGTTGCTAAAGCACAAGAAAAGGTGCTCGCGGGTTTGCCCTAGGCTTGTGAGATACCCCCCTTCCAACAGCCTTTGGAGGATAGCAAAGCAATCATGGCGTGTTTTAATAAAGTAATAATACTAAGATAAAAATGGGGCGTTCTTGGGACCAACCCAGCGACTCTGTTGCAAAATTGCTCAGGTGCCCATGGAATTTTGGGTTCTTTATTTGCTGGTGCGATAGGTAGGGAAGGTGGGGGGTCCCCTTAAAGGAAAATACCAGTTGGATGTTTCATTTGGGTCATTCCCTCATTCCCTGCAGAGCAGTAGCAAGTTTACTCGAATATTTGAACAGATTGAGTAGGTTATGGTTGTTTTCTAATTGGCAGTTTGTTATTTCTTTCGGGGGGGGGGCTAAGCTTTCTCACTTTGCTACCTTTTGACCTTTCGGTTAACCTGTTCTTTCTGCATAGCAATCCAAGGGCAGCAGGCCATGCCACTGTTGCCAGCTTTGCTCTTGACCTTCCTGCAAAAACCCAGTGCGCACAACTGAAGGCATGCCATCAATGATGCAAAATCTAGCTTTTCCGTCGGGCCCTTCACAGCAAACTCCAAAAGGTTTCATGTCGGAATCATTCGCACTGGCAAGGTGTGGTATTTCCAGAGGCTGGCGGTATCCTGGCACAGATCCAGAGCCAGAGGCTCAGCCTGCGGCGCCAGCGAGAGTTCCACCAAAGATGGATTCACAATGGATTCATCTACTGGCTCCAGTTGTAGGATATGGCCTTGTGCCCCGTTTTGTCGCATCATTTATGTCATGATTCATGATGCGCCATTCTCTGACGTTCTTCCCGCCCTTCGCTTCACGGGAGCCTGGCTAAATGGTATTTATGCAAGCGCCCTGGTTGCTTTGGCGCAATGGGTACCCTGGTCTGGACAGACAAGCTTCCAAGCTTCAAAATCATTTCATGAGGGAGATGGTCAAATCAGGCAACCTTCCCACTGGCCAAGCATGCAGAGTGGGCGGCTCTTGGAATCCAGCATTTCAGAGGGACAACAAGGGCGAACCTTAGTGTTGGGACGCAACAGCGTCATGTTCATGCGCCCTTCCATGCGCCCTTCATCTGAAAGGTCGGTGGAAGGGTCACCCCAAAAGGCAAGAACCAGCAAGACAGCCACAAGACAAAATGCACAAAACAGATGGAACCACAACACAACCCTTTCGGCTGGCATTGCTAGCTGTGGCTCAGTTTCCTGGAGCCTGGCATGGGCACCAAGAAGGCAATCCGTCGCGCCGGGGCACCTGGACCGCTGGGAGAGGTTTGCTAGGACATCAGGCTAGATTCTTTCATTTTTCACCCGGACTCGGATTTGTCGAGCAACAAAACAGGTACTAAGCAAGGTCAAACGCATCCACAAACCAATGTTATTTGGGAGTCTACCAAGGGAAGCCTGTAACAAAAGAGTGTCTTGCCCTGCCTTCAACTTGTTTTCCGGCTTCGGTTCGCCAAAGTTAGAGTAGGGCCGCAAGGGCTTGAACCTCCAAACCCGCTTGCCCGAATTGTTGCTGCCATCTCGCACCGCCCCCTCCCTCCCCCCACAAACCTTTCGCGAGAGCCAATGCACTACCCAATCATTGTGGGCGGTATTTCCCGTCGAACTTCCTTGCCCTATTCTGCTCGATTTGCATCACTCAAGCCAGTACTGGCAAGCCCCAAGCATATTGAGCATCAGGCCGTGCAAGTTGTTAAGTTGATTGATTTGAACCATCGCCATGCCCAGGCACACGTGTGCGTTCTTTGCCTGGATGCCGCGAAGTACCAGCGGATGACAAGCTACAGCTGCCCGGCGCTCAGAGCTTGTGCATGCTAAAGTACACCGCAAGCCGAGCAATGTCCAAGTGTTGAATCAAGGATACCAAACTTTCTGTATCAGATTGGTTCAGTCCTGTTTGTATGGCTGACTCTCGCGCCCGGTCACGTCAACCGCTTTTTTGTTTGGCAACGGGATGGCAATAGCTGCAACGAGAAGATCGAAGGATGGTTTTGTTTGCCCCCTTGCAATTACTGAAGAGAAGGCTCAGCATGCTGGTCTCGTTGTTGCGGTGCCCAGAGCGTGCAACTTAGGCCCAACCAAGTTTGAGGTTCGGTTGGGGAACTACGTGGCAGAGGAAGGCAAGTGTCTCATCATCGCCAGTGCCTCAGCTGCGGCGCGATGCGGCGCCCGAGGTTTGCAACTGGCCTTCGAGTTTTACAGGTCGAAGGTGTGGTTGCCGTCAGGGCTTGCTTTCCAACCCAGGCCTCTCCACGCTGTCTCTGCGTTTGGTGGCTCACAGGGGCTTGAACAGATGCGTGGCTCAACAAGCAGCAAGACCATGATCGGTTTTGTTTGCTTTTCTAGATGAGCAACGCTTGGGAAAGATCTTGGCTTTCTGCGAAAGTGGCATTCGCGCGAAACTGAAACAGCTCAGCAATGGTGTGGCAGCCGAGGGCAAGTCCCAAGATACAACAATGATAGGCCTCTGGTGGCTGCGGCCCATACATATATGTTTAAAAGAAAATAAAATAAATAAATATATATATATATATATGTGTATTAGTTCATGCTTGGGCATTTGGTGAGGTCGACATGTCACAGAGCAGAATCAGAAGACCTCGGAAGAACAGGTGCAACAGCCACAGCTGCTGATCTTTGTAACGGTTCAGATGCGTCATCTCAGTTTTGCACGCCAGAGTTTGCTTTAGTTGGTTGCAGACGGCAACGCGCTTCGTCTTCGAGACTCACCGGCGGCAAAGCCATGCGTGGCGTGCGCAGTGAGTCGCCAGAGGCAGGATGAGTTTGCAGAACATTGAACGGGTTGCCTCGGCTGCTATTGGGCGTCGCTGGAAAGCCAGCCAGATTCCCCCAACGGAAAGTTTCGGCTGTTCACGAGAGAAAAGCCAGCCCAGGCTTCCCTTTGCGATTGCTTGAGATTGTCCGAGTAAGCTGTGTTTCATTGCTGGCTTTCCTGAGGGCATAGTTGTTGCTCAGGTCTCGAATTTCTTATTTTGCGCTGTTCAAAGGATCTTCTTCTTTGGGATGCGAGAGGGCCCCGCTCAGTGGCTTCCAAGCAGGATTGAGGAAAGTCGGCTTGGCTGATGTAATTGATGACTTGCTTGCAAGTATGGTTGCGACGGTCGTCAAGGCTCAGCTGAAATGATCACGGTGTTGCACGCGAGGATGTCGGTGACGGCTGGCGCGTGCTGCATCTCTCTGCCTGCTGCATGGCAGAGGAGCATGGTCAACTCAGGGTTGGCAAGGATGGCCGTTTGATCAGGGTTTAGACAACCAATGTAATTAAAGGTTAAGGGAACCATTACCATAACACGATAGCGAGGCTTGACCACGGCACAGGTGTTGAGTGTTCCTGCTGCAACTGAGCAGTGCCTGCCACTCCTGAAGCCATTTGAACTACCTTAGTGGACCAAAAGTCGCCGAACAGCGCTTAATCAGCAAGGTGTGCTCAGTGGAAGCCTGGCCCAAGTGCCTGCCAGAGAACAGCCCGTGCTGGCAAAACTTGGAGCGCCATGCGCCTGGGTGGGAAGACACTGAGCATCTGTTGTGAACCTCCAGATTCGGACTGCAGGAAGATGACAAGAACGCTACCGGAAGACTATGGGCAGAGTACTGTGTGTCATTCTAGAACGATGAACGGTTTTCGCGAAGCCTCCGCGAAGCCTCCGCGAAGCCTCCGCAGTCGAACTTCCATGCTCTGCCCATCCCTGCCTACTTTGGGGCCCAGCCATGTCCTTCACTTCTGAGGCTCAATGTTTCTTTTTCCGGCGACATCGCCCCCAGTCTCATAGATGCCACTTATTCAACGAAACGAGGGCGCAAAATTCAGAGATGTTTGTCGCACAAACGTCCACGAAGCCCAACGAAACCACTCCGCGAAGCCACGGTCTTGCTTCGCAGCCTTGCAAAGCCAAACCTTACACGAATTCCGGCCCCGCGAAGCCTCCTCAGCAGCGCATAAGCCTAAGCCCTGAACCTCTAAGCTCAATTGGGTTCAGTTCCTTTTTCTATGAGGGTCACTGGGCAACTCGGCTTTCCTTTTTGCATTGACCCCATTCTGCGTTGAAGGCCGGGGTCGCGGCCGGAGGTTCCCAAGCTTATGGAATGGGATTGGTTCGTCATCAATTTTGCTTTGTAGGGGCCCGTTCCAGCTGCCGATCATGAGGTTTGGCAGCAACGTGAGCCACGTGGTTGAGGCAGCAGGCTTTCCACTGGCTACTGCTAATGGAATTAGACCGCGACTGAAAAGCCCAACCAGGCTTTTTTGTTTCCATTGACGGTTTGCGGTCAATCCAGGTTCCCAACTTGGAAATGGCAATGTCACGCACTCATGTGCAGGACATTCTCCACGCATTGGTGGTGACTTGGCATCCCATCCTGGAGGGCGCCAAAACCTTTTTGGGGACCCCCCCCTCCCAAGGGAAACCTTCACTTTGGGGCACATCCCGCCCCCACTGGCTGAGGTAGTTTTGCGCAAACCCCACTCTCACCTCACCGCGACGACCACTCTCACTCCCACCCCCCAAGGTTGCTTAATTTGGGGTTCTGCCTCCAGGAGGAGCAGGCGGTGGAAACCTTTGCGCGCATCACCGAGACCAGTAGCGCCGCTCGGACAAAACCATGATCCAACCAGTGTTGTTTAAACCCAACCAGTGTTGTTTAAACATGATTGAACGACCTTCTTTGGGGCTTCCGTTTGGAGGCGACCAGGGACTGGTTGAAAAGAGAGACACGTTTTGCGCAAATGTGGTGGCAACGCCTGGATTTTGCGGGAAGTGGTCCACAAAGGTTTGTTTTCCAAATGCAGGGCATGCTGCCGTTGCACATCACCCGTACGCATTTGTTGCTGTTTGGACTTCCATGTTGCTTTCCTGTTTTGCAAGTTTCGGGGCTCACGGACAATACTACAAAGAGGGCAGCTGTCGGAGTGTTCGCTCCTTCAAGCGTTTCCAGATTTATGCTTACCCTTTTCCACTGGATTATTTTGGTGACAACCCTTGTAAGGCGGCCCTGCTTTATAACCGTGGCGAGAAACGTACCGCGAGACTAATGCTGTTGCAGCCTGCCGCTGCACCGAACAGCAACCAATTCATGTGGTCATCATCGCGCATTTTGAAGGGCGCCCCTTTGAATGCGCATTTATGTACAAATAAAAAACGCACCCATATTGAGGGGGTGCCTGTCGGTTTCCCATATTTAAAGCCACAACCCTAATTACCGTGGTGTTGTTTGCCCAGGTGGTCGCTGCAGTGCTCCTTGACCCCGAGGGCGATGCCGCCGGGCGCGCGGGCCTTAGAACCAATTATGTGTGGAAGCTCGGAACAAGGATCTTACAAAACCATAGGTGTACTTACAGAATCTATTTGCATAATTTTGCGGAGTCTGCTGTAAGGCGAGAGAAGTGTTTCAGCTTTGGACACGTTGCCAGGGGATTCCCTCCAATTTCCCTCGAACTAGTTGACGCTACTGTCAGTTGATCTCAAGCTCCTGCTCCAGGGCTGCAACAAGAGGCCCAGCTTTCATTCCGTTTGATGTACCAGGGTCTTGGCTTGCGATGTTTGCAGAAGGCTTTCTGGGTAGCTGAGCCAGGCGTAAGGGCCGCTGCAAAGCACCCAGATGAGCAACTGGTAAGTTCAACGATGCTTCAGTTTTCACCCGTTAGCCATTGTGGCTGTTTGGCTCAAGGAGTTGCCAGACACAAGGAGTCTTTCCGCTGGCCATGTCGGTGAAAGTCGTTGTGGCAGACCTTGTTGGACGCTCGCTGCCACTTGAGCTTCCTGCCACGGAAACTGTGAAAGCCATCAGGGATGCAGTGGCTTCATCATGGGGGCTTGATCCTGTCGCCTTTCACCTGCTAGTGGAAGCCAATCGCATGGACGAAGCGAGCACGCTTGAGAGCATCCTCACGGACAAGATGGAGACGATTGAGGTGCAACTTGTCAAGTTTGACCCTCTCTTAGACCTCGGGCAGTTTGACAGCGGCAATCACACTGGCATTAGGTTGTTTGATGACCACACCACGCTGACAAAGACGTCGGATCGCCCGGATTCCAACAATGTCTTCTTACGCCGCGGGATTCGGGAGCCATGTTTCGTGGAGTTCGAAGTGGTCCGCTTGAGAGATGAGATGTCGTTCGGTGTGACATATGACCGACGGATAGAGGAAGCTTCGGGCTTCAAGAATCTTTCCGTAGCAACCACTTGGATCTTCTCCCGAAAGAAGTCGATGCCTGTCTTCTTGTTCGCTGGTCAGCGATTGAATCCCCGGGGCATGCCTGGTATAAAGGAGAAGGACATCATCGCGGTCTACGCAGATCCTGAGGCTCGCGTGGTCGAGTTCTACTGCAACGGAGAGCTGATGGGATCCACGGAATCGCTCGGAGTTCCTTTGCCGGAGGCGAAGGGTAGGCCTCTCTGGATGTATGCCATGGTGGACATGATGGAGGATACGATCCTAATCAAGCGATTTGGCCCCGGCAGGCCATGAATCTGGCAGAATAGTTATTCAGCTCTGTACAGGCGAGCTGGCGCGAGAAAGTAGGGTTTCTGTGCTGTTGGTACTTGTGTGACCCACGACAGCGGAACAAAAACAAGCAAGGCAATGGCTCACCGAAGGGCTTGTAGTTTGGCAATGGCCGGATGCAAAAGTGGGTGCAATGTTAGGTCTTTGAATCTATGCATGTCTTTGACCATGGCCAGGGTGAAAGCTGACCTGCTTGTTTGCTGAGCTTGTTAGACTTGATCCGTCACGTGCGCCACAATGCCCTCGTATGATGAATTATGGGATATGTTGTGTTGACATGGCATACTGCTGTTGGCAGATTTCAACGGCCCCCTCCGGCCTCCGGCCCGCCTTGCAGGATTTGGACACCCCGGCGCATGCCGAGCGATGGCGACCATGATGTCCAGGCAGGCGCGTCTTGAAATGCAAACACCAGCTACCCTCCTGTCTGAGTTTCTTGGGCCAGTGGGCTGCCAAATTTGGGACCTTCGGGATAGCATGGATAGCACTCAAGAGAGAGAGAGAGAGAGAGAGCTCCTGCAGATTGACAAGAGGCTAAGACTCCACTGGAGTCTTGCCCCTTCATGTCTGATTTCTGGAACTGCGTGAGATGTTTCGCAGAATGTGTTCCTGCA